GTTTGAGGCTAGACTGGTCTACAGAGCGAGTTCCAGGACAGTCAGGGTTACACAGGAAACCCTGTCTTGAACCCCCCCCCCCAATTCACACAATCATACAAGATCTAAAAATCAAGATATGGAACATTTCTAGCATCTCAAGATTTCGTAGTGCCTCTTTCCTATCTGTCTCCCTCTACCCTCCCTAGACATCCAGTTAAATATTGTCCAGACTTCTAACCCATTGATAAAAATGTTCACTCTTGTAACTTGCTTCTTTTGCACAATACACTCTGTTGTATTAAAATCAGAGAGTAGACATATCATGTTTGGCAAGAATGTGGGAAAATAGGTATTTTCTTAAGTTGCTGGTTGAAATGTAGCCAGAGGAAACCTTTCATAAAGTAGTTTAAAATACACCAGAAGCTGGGTGCGGTGGTGGATGCCTCTATTCCCAGCACTCAGGAGGCAGGGTCAGACAAACCCTGAGTTTGAGGCTAGCTTGGTCTGTAGAGCTAGTTCCAGGACTGCCAGAGCTACACAGAGAAACCATATCTCCAAAAAATAAAAACAGAAAATTAGAGGCAGGGTCTCAGGAGGCAGAATTAGGTAGATCTCTGTGAGTTCAAGGCCAGCCCAGTCTACTTGGCCAGTTACAGGCCAGTCAGTGCTCTATAGTGAGACTGTCTAAAAAAGAAAGCCTTGGACATAAAGGCTTTCCTAGGGCAGGTAGGTAGTTGTAGACTGTGGAAGGGCTTCAGTATCAGGAAAATGATTTTTGGACTTACCTCCTAGTTAACAACTCTAAGCTTTTGTATGCAATTCATGTAATTCTGTGACTACAGTGCTATTTCACAGCAGAGTCCACTAAGGAGTTTTGGAACCATGTGAAGAACGCATCTTGAGATGCTTTTTTTTTTTTTTTCCAGACTGTGTATACTACCTCAAAGAAATAAGATGACAGACAACAAGGACACAGAGAGGTCAGGTATGGAGCAACCCTGACTTTGGCATCAATCAAGGTTTGCTTCCTGTGGGACTAAGGAAGTCAGAAGTCAGAAGCTGGAATCTACAAATGGTCATGGGCACCGACCCAACAAACAGGGCACGGCTGGCTTTCTAAACAACCGAAGCTTCTGGAAGCTTCTGGAGTGGACCTCCTTCCCGCTCGCTCGCCTCTAGTTTCATCCCTGGCCGCCAAAGCTCGCCTAGGCCGAGTGTGTGTGTGGGGGGTGACGCTGTGGAACACAGGCTGCAGAGACCGTCCTGTCCTCAGGCCACTTCCACACTCCCTCATCTTCGTGGCCTCATCTTGCATATAAGCATCTGCCCCTGAGCCTTCTCCATCCTTTCATGGCCAGCCACCGATTTACTTATGTCCTTCCCACCGACAGAAAAGCAAACCTGGGTTTTTAACAAGCCATCTGGGGT